CTTTTAAAAATACAAGATACTTGAGGTAAGCTCAAACAGGTAAAGTTAACGTCCCCGAAGTGATATCTAGATAATGGCAGGCTAGAATTCAAGATTCCTGACTTCCAGTTCAATGTTTGTTTTTTTAAATAATATACATCTCTTCTACCAAAAGGGTAACATGTCTCTCAGACACACAGATCCCATACTTCAAAATTAAAGATGCATGCAGATGTTTCAAAGCATTGACCATTTAGAACAGCGGTTCTCAAACTGGCATGCATGAGAATAATCTGGAGGGCTTGTTAAAAATACAGATGGCTAGGAGCTAACCCCAGAGTTTATGATATAGTAAGTCTAGGCGAGGCCTGAGAATCTTCATTTCTGATGAAGCTCTAAATAAAATATTGACTTTTCTATGTAAGGTACCTAATCAAGAGATACAACCAATAAAGTTCTCTTATGAAAATATCCATTAAAAAGAAAAAAACCTAGTGTAGCTTTCCCAGTTCCAAGAAATAACCTACTGAAAAGATAATTAGATGGTTACTAAACGAGATGCCAACTCTCAGATTCCCAAACCACAGTATTTTGTTTAACCTTTTTCTGGCCATTTAGTCAACGGAAAATTAAAAAGCGATAGATTTTAAAGGTCTTCTTTCTCCTCTTAAGACCAATGATTCTAAGCGCAATCTCCAGAACATCAGCAGTGATAAGAGAATCACTAGGAAGTTTGTTGGAAATGCAAATTCTCCGGCCTCATCCAAACCTACTAATCATAAACTCTGGGGTAGCGCCTGGCAATCTGTATTTTTAACAAGCCCCCCAGATGATTCTCATGCATGACAGTTTGAGAACCACTGTCCTAGACCACTCATGCTTTGAAACATTTGCATGTTTCTCTGCTAAGTATACAATTTCTTTATAACCAGTCATTTTATGAATGTCCCTTCCACACAAAATTAATCTAATTGCTAGAAAGTATTTTTAATGACAAATTTCATTTTGTCCCGTCCAGTGCTTCAGTTTAGCTCATGAAGAACAAGCATAAAGTTTAAATATAAGTTGCTCTAATTTAATAGTTAGCATTAAATGTCATGTTTCACTGACTATCTTTTTAAATTTAGTTCTAAAAATACACCTTGACTTTTTCATATCTAAATCATATATTTCTCTAATCAGTAATGAGCCTTATTATTCAGTATCTTTTTTCTTTCATAATAATGCTTTATGGAGAACTGTACTACTTAAGAGTTTTTATGCCCTATATTTTCTATAAACAAAAATCCTACATACTTCAGGGTATAAGTTTTCTAATCTATTATGCATTTTAATCATTTAATACTTATTCTTTTGCCCAGTTTCTACAGGTTGCACTGTGAAGCTAATGTGCCAGCAGGTACATGTCTTGCATTCCTTTTTCTTCCTTTTATTGTGTGATTACAAATGAAAGTGGGAATGCTAGGAACTGTTAAAAAGAAAGTAAATGAATTCTTTGTCTCACTGTGCACAGATGCACTCAATTCACATTTCCCAAGGGAGAAAAAAGATATTCAAAAGGAAATAAGGGTCACAATATATATAACAAATGTGTAAGGAATCAGGCGGTTTGAACTGCAAGGTCAGATGGCTTGCTCCACAGAATTCTGGATGATGTGGTAAGAAAGGAAAACATTGAGGGCTAGATGGTAATCTAGGACACACAGCACACTCTTCAGACAAGTCTGCAGCTGCATTTAACAAAGATGCCCTTGCTTGTTTGAAGTTAGAATTTGGCAATTAGCAATCTATTTAAAACCTTTCACAAATAGAGGACAAAATGGAAAAATGTCAGTACTTGCATTTTAGAAAAGGTATCTAGAAAAATTTTTAAAGATCAAAATTAAGTGTCCATATTTAAAATATAAAGTTACAATAGAGCCACATATTTTTTTTCCAGGCAAAAACAGAAAAAGGGGAAAAGCCCTAACGTTGAAACTAAAATGTCTGAATTACAGGAATATCCACAGACATTTTAGCCAGGCAACAATAAGGTTTTCAAATAGATAGATAACCTGTCAGGTCAATAAGAACAGTATGCAGCAGGAGCTCCTTCAATGGATTGAGACTGCGCTGGAGGCAAACCCAAAGGCAGCCTATTTTTTTTAAGTGCCAAACAAGGATGGCAAAATTGAAAGAAGTCAATAGGAAGGATGAAAAAAAATTATTAGACATGTTTATAAAAACTGGCCAAATTTAACAATTTGTCCTTATACCTAGAATGCAAAGAAATGAATATCCTCTAAAACTGGATTAGAAAGAAGAAAACTCAGAGGAGAAATGATCACGATCAAAACTCTAGTCCTTAAAAAGTAAAAGCACACATGGATTATAAAGTTATGTATGAAAAGTATTCAAGTTGTATAATGTTTACGTGAAAAACACATTGGCTGAAACATTTCTCAGCATCAATAAAGTCTAAAATTTCTCTAAACAGCTCTGCATTCATAAAATACAGTCATTAATCTTTCTACTATGACCAGCATGATTGGTGGGTAGGAAAAGGAAAGCAAAGCAATTTTAAATCAAGCACCTTTAAGGAATCAGTGCTGATTTTCACAACTGAACAAAGAAAACTTCCCAGAGAGCCAGACACAGACACAGAAACACAGACAGACACACAGACAGACTGACCGACAGACACACAGACAGACTGACCCACCCACCCACACACACACACACACACACACTCACAATCACAAACCAAAGCTTTCTACTTTCTACCTGCAGGGAAACAATTAGCATATCCCAAATGATAACTTTACAAATTACCATACAAGAGAACAATTTAACTTTATATTAAGATAGGGCCAATGATTTCTGCAACTAAACAAAACATGGTATCCCTGTGTGTTTGATTCTAAATTAGAGCCCCTTAGAACATTAAAGTTATTAAGAGCTCTAGGGGGCAGGGGGACGACAAAATGGCAATATTTTACTTTTATCAAACATTTAAAACTAATACAGAGTGGCCCTGTTCTTGGAACGGGACCAATGTATTTGATTCTTTTTTTAATCAACAAGATTCAAGATAGGAAGCAACTAAAAAACTTTCAAAATATTTTGGAAATTATATTGAGTCTAGGAAAAAGAAATAAATGGAGGTGCAAGGGACAGAAAAAAAGAGGTTTGGTATTACCTGCTCTCATTAAGAGAAGTGGTTTTTTCACATTTACTCCTACTTTTTTTTTTTTTTGAAAAATGCCGTCCACCTTTCATCTTTCAGGGAATAATTAAACACAATATTAAAAGAAAAACCAACGAAACAAAACAATCTCATACAAACCTGAAGAAAAAATTAATCTAAGACCCAGCTATTTATGAAGGTTTATGAAGGAGGAACAGACAGGATATTTAAAGATAAAAGGGTAAACTTTCTGATATATATTTTCCAAAAAAGGGATGCAATTAGAAGAAAGTGTATAAGTATTTCATCAGTCCTTAATTAAAACAAAGAGGGATACCCATGACTAAGAGCAACAATAGGCTGCCCATCACCAAATAATCTATCATCAAGCCAGGCTTGCTTATAAAGAATTATAGGCATAGTTCTCATACAAATTTTTTAGATAATATTTTAGATGAATTTTCTGCTGGAAAGAAATGAGTACGAGAAATTTTTTTGTTGTTGTTTAAATAAAATGCTTCTGGTTTCAACCTTTTTAAATGTTTTCCCCCTTTCCAGTTCTCCTCATCCCAATCCAGAAGCCCTCCCACCCAGAGTTCATGTGTTTTCCTTCTCTATTTTTATGAAAACACACCACATTGATTTTAAGAACCTTACTTGATTTCCATTTGTTTTGCCTCAGCCCCTACATTAATCCAAACAATAAGGGCCTTTAAAACATTCATAAATAACCTGCTGCTGCTGGCACCTAGGAGCCAAGCAGCAACGTTAAGCAACAACAAATTTCATAGTTCAAGAGGCACAGTTAAGGAAAAAGGTTGCTCAGAAAATCACTCTTATTTAGTACAAAGATCCTTAAAAATTGCATGAAATCAGTCAAGTAACTATAGAAACCAATTTCTTCAGCTTCATATCACACGTCTCACACCTCAATTGTCTTTATTATTGTCTGCTGTCAGATCCTTAATCAGAAATGTGAACAGGCTTGATGATTTATTCAGCAGGGAAAAGAATCTGTAGGTCAAGTGAAAATTTTCACACACACACCCATATACACACCACATCTTCAACCTTAGGTACTTTCATTTCCTTCTGTTCTCAGCAGCTCTGGGGGCAACTCCAGTGAGATCCAATATTAAGGCTCAATTAAAATAAGCTCCAATTAGTGGAGCTTTTTTCTCTGGGGCTAGAAAAGTCAGGAAATGGATATTGGGAAATGTAAAAAGTCAGCTACTGAGAGGAGGCTGCAGACATAAATGAACTTATTTGTTGATTTCTACAGTTGCTATGCAGAGGCCTCTGGGAGTAAAAGCTTAACCAGTCTAAGCTATAAACTAAAACCCCTGCAGCTAAACATGAACTGTGTGAAACACGGGCTCCATTCCAGAACAGAAAACTGCTGGGCCCAGAAAATTAAAAGCCAGAGGCATTTTCCATTTAAAACTAAATCCCAGTACCGCCTCCCAGCCAAAGAATTATAAGCAGTATCAGATTTACAAAACGAACAATTACCCTGGAAAAATGTAGTCTATTGTACAGTCCCAGATGCTAAATCTCAGAAGTTTCTCTCTCTCTTTTTTTTAATCCCACATTATATTCCTTCAAGTGTGCTGCTGTAGTTTACAAAGAGCCATTTCTAGACAGGCCTAAGCCTTGAAAATAAATTTTAAAAAGAGAGCACATCACTCATTGACCTCATTTGAAGTACTGCCCTTGCCTTTAGCAGTTCCTGTCCTTCCCCAAGGCTTCTGCAAATGGTATGCAACAGCAAAATAAACCCTGACCTAATTGCCAGGAGAGAGCTGCCAGCCTTCCCTCAAACACAAAGACAAACATGGTAACTTGAAAGTCCTACCTCTTTGGCTTTCTGCTTTAATCTCAGCTGTTCTGGATCTTCTTTATTGGAACGACTCTAGCAAAGGAAAAGAAAATTTTAATAGAAATTACTAGCATCTAAACACCATAGCTGCCGTTAAATATTTAATAAATGACAATTTTCTCTTGTGATTGAAAACCTTAGCTCCAGGGGAAAATGCCTCAGTACAGTCCTGTGCATACCCTCCCTTACCACCCCTCCCTCTCGTTGTCTGGGCCGGCTGCTGCAGTTCTAGCCCGAAGGAAGCTTATACTGAAAATGATGCTAACAATGTCAGTCAGGTCCAGTTGAGGCATAGCCTTGTTCTTGCTGGAACACTGAAAACTAAAAAACAAATGGAATGGATGAAGGAAAAGAAAAGGATAACTGTTGGCTTAAATAATGAAAACAATCAACACTGGCTAATCTTCAGGTGAAACCATTCTGGAAAAACATATGGTATTTCAAGAACTATAAAAATCAAGAACCGGTCTAGCTTTGAACCAAATCTCTCTTCAAAAGTGTAATTTTTAAAAATTAAGTATAAAATACATTCCAATGTTTCCATTGAGTATCTTATCATCTTTGGGTCATCTATAGCACTTAACAGAATGCTATACACAAGTAAATGTTTAATAAATGTTTACTGAATGTCACTCTCCATAGTGATTCAATTTAACATTCTAAAAATATACAATCTTATAGGACTGCTATTAAGAAGAGAGCAACCTTCCACACGCAATGCTATGATGGAACAAAGTATAAGGAACTTTATTTTTGAAAACATTAATATTTGTCCACTGAAAAATATGCTTGGGATAGGTGTATCCTTCTTTTCATCCTAACAAAGCTATCTAACTCCTAAGAAATCTGAATATTTGTTCTGTAAAATGCAACATTAGCTAATAAAAGATAGCTAACAAAATAAGAGCTAAAAGTATTCTCCTATTTCCCTAAGTTTACCTGACAGGTTTACTGGTTTATCAGTATTTTCGTTAAAGAAAAATAGAAGAAACTTTATAATTGAGTACTTTCTAATTTTAAACACCTTAGCTAAATACCTACCTAAGATTCTATCCATAACTACTGATTTTTTTTTTTTCATTTTTCCCCTAATCTATTAAAACAACTTCACTTAAGCCCAAATTAAGACCAAGTCCTTTGTTATTCCACTTATAATATTAGGAGAGAATGTTCTATGTATTTATATAAAAATGTGTGCATGTGTATATGCGTGTATATATAATTTTCTACCCCATGTAAAATGGGCACATTGGGTATCTAGTCTTTGTCAGTCGATCAATATTTATTGATTATCCACAGTACAAATTCTACTGTGTATCACTATAGGCACAGAAATGAAATAACAAGACTAAGTCCCGGCTTTCAAGTAACTTAACGTTTTAAGAAAAGAAAAACAATTTTATAAAAATTAAATGTAATTAAAATATATAAAGCATTTATGATAGGGAAAAATAAAAAAATTACTGACAGTGCTAAAAAGCTATAAAGAAAATAAACAGGATAATGTAATAGAAAGGGAGAGAGAAGAATGTGTGGGGGGGTATTTCTTTAGGTAGGATGGGAGGGAAGACATCTGTGAGGAGTGACATTTGAGTAGAGATTTGAATGTCAAGAAGAAGGCAGCCATGCAAAGATCTGGGGGAAGAACACTCCAAGCAGAAGGCACAGTAATTGCCAAAACTTAAAATGGAAACAAGCTTGGCATGCTTGAAAGAAAAAAAGCCTGTGTGGTTAGAACATAGAAAAAAGTTGAAGGGGATAAGGTTAAAGACCATGTGTTGCCTTGTAGGCCATGATAAGGAGTTGGGGTTCAATTCTAGTTATAAGAACAAGTTACTGGAGGGTTTGGAGCACAGGAGTGAGATGCCACTGACATGACACTTTTGAAAGATCAATTTGGCTATGTAGAGGTTGTACTGTAGGGATCCAAGACTAGAGGCACAGGCACACAGAGCAATAAGGAGACTATTCTAAAACAACTACTGTGAATATAAAATTAGGAAAAAGATGAGGGCATCTTGGACTAGTGTCATAGCAGAGAAGACGATAAGTGATTAGATTTGAAATATATTTTAGAGGTAGAGCCAACCAGGTTCACTGATGGATTGGATATAGGGTATGAAGTAAAGAGAAAAATTAAGAATAACTCCTAGGATTCTGTCCTAAGAAACTCGAAAGATAATTCCAACTTTCTGAGAGGAAAAAGATGGGAGAAGATTTAGGGGAAGGGAACTCAATGTTCAGTTTTAGATGGCTAATTATTAGTCTAATATCCTATGGTGGGGGCGGGGCATAAGCTTGGCACAATCAAAGAAAAGTCAGTGTGACTGGAGCAGAGTGAGTAAAGGGAATGATATGAGGCAAACTCAGAGAGGGAGGGGGTGCCAGATCATGCAAGGCCTTTAAAACTTTGGTGAGAAGTTTGAGTTTTATTTTAATGCAAAGAGAGGAAATCACTGAAGGCTTTTAAACAACAGAGACATACATGGCTTGTTATAAAAACATTATCCTAAAATTAGTATGGAAAATGGATTATAGAAGAAAAATATCAATTCGAAAACATTATATAAGAGTCCCTGTGAAAGATAACTTAGGCTAACATGGTTACAATGGTGATGAAGAGAAGATGGATACATTTTAGAAATAGAATAGGAAGAAAATAGATTCAGGAGAGATAAAGGAGTTAAAGATGACTTCTAGGTTTTTTGTTTTGTTTTGTTTTGTTTTGGCTTGAACCAGGTGAATAAATGTGTCATTTACTGAGTTAAGGTATTTTGAGTGGGGAAGAAAATCAGGAGTTCTTTTGGACACATTAAATTTGAAATGTCTACTGGCCAACTGAGTAGAGATTTCAAGTAGGCAGTTACTATATGAGTCTAGTTCCATAATATAGACTGTGTTAGGAATATAAATTTACAAGGGAATGCAGACAAAGAAGAAGGCCTAGGAGTAAATCCTGGGACACTCCAATATTTTGAAGTCTGGTAGAGGAGAAAGAGCCAAGAGAGAGTGAGAGCAAATGTAATATATCCAATAACAAAACAAGTACTTAATAGTTTGTGACCTTGTTTACAGCATAGTAATTGGAAATAAAATACCAATAAACTACTTCATTACACTGGCTGTGTGCTTGCTTATAATACTTGAGGGCTCAAGAAAGAGTATCTTCTCCTCTCCTAGCTGTCCTTCCCATTGCAGGAAAGGTCAGCATGGGGACTGAGACAGTGGGACGGTGGGAAGCTGCAGTGACATGGTTGTGGTGCCCCACAACCTTGTGGGGGATTGGGGAACATGAAGGTATAGACCAGTAGCCAAGAATGCAGGGTGATGAGGGGCTGGGGAGGCTCACCAAGGCATGGCCAGTGGGCATGGCGGCCAATTACATGGACAATGAAATGAGGGCAGGGGTAACAGTAGTAGTAGACAGAAAAGTCAATCAGCATAACTTTGGGAGATTAGTTACATTGATCAAATAAGTAAATTGAGAATATAAGTAAATATATTGAGGATAACGAAACCAAGTTTCTGACTATGGAGAAAGTATTTATAAACATAGAAAACTTAAGGCTAGAAAGAACTCTAAGATATTGGAGTTGGAGGTATCCATATAAACTCATGGTTTTACAATATATACACACAGATAAAGAAATACAGATGTATGTTTGCATATATACACACGTGTACATATGAACATACCATACATATATTTCCTAGATTTGTCCACTGAGAGGGCCTATATTTAATGACACCCCATTAGCAATGAGCACACTGTATACTCTAATCCTGGTTTCTGGATATCATCCTCAGTTAAAAAGATGCAGGGTTCCTTGGAGAAATGGCTGATACGAGGACTGGAAAGGAAGAGTAAAAGCTGGGCCTAAAATATCTTATGCCAAAAAAGTAAGAACATGCTCACAAAACGACAGGGACATGACTAATGGACAGAAGTGCCAGCTGGAAGGGTCTCTCGCTCAAGAGCAATTAGAACATAAAAATAAATAATGATAGTAATGGATTACAATCTGTTGAATCTAATAAAAATCCATGAGCCCATACTGATATAAATGCATGCATGCGTGAATAAGAGAAAAAAGAAAGCTCTTCCATATGGTAGACGGCTAATAAATGTAGAAGAGAATAGGAGAATAAGGAATCACCATCTGACAACCATCATAGAGGTGGCTGATTAAGGTAGACATTATCTAAAATTGATACACGGAAGTTCGATGAGAATAGAATATACTGGTATATATAATCTTAGAATACCTTCCTACGAAAAATTCATCAATTACAACGGGTAAAACAGAGAGAATTGGTAAGCATTCACTCAACCAGGTTACAAGGCTGCCTTTTGACCAGCTGAGAAGAATGTAGCATCTCTTCTATCTATTCCTGCCAAGAACGCATGATCTAAGTCATGAGGAAATATCAGTTGAATAAAGGCTGAGAGTCACCCTACAGAAGGTAAGGTCTATTCTCTTGAAACCTATCAAAGACACAAAAGAAAAAGAAAGACTGAGAAAATCTGTGGAAGGAATCTGAAGAGAGGACAAGTGAATGTAACACATATTCCTGAAAGGGAAATGGACCATGAAGAAAAAGGAGACAGAGAGCTAAGACAACTGGTGAAATCTGAATGGGGACTGTGGATTGGTAGAGTTACATTGTTCACATCTTGACTTGGAGGTTTATACAAAAGAATGTCCTTGTTTTCCCAAATATATACTAGAATGTTTAGGAGTGGTGGACATCATGTCTGAAACTTGCTTTCAAAAGGTACAGAAAAAGACTAATCGGAGATGATAGTTGCACAATCTTACGCATATACAAAAAAACCTCTGAATTGAAAGAAAGGAGAATAAAAGAATGATAATATGTGTGTGTGTCTAGAAAGGGTGAAGAAGAAGCAATGAGAAATCTGGGAAGATGACATTTCTTTGTATAGTTCTGGTAACTTTTCTATAAGTATGATACAATTTCAAAATAAATTAGTTTCTAAAAAGTGATTGGCATATGATTAGAAACAAATACTCTAAAATGAGAGGCTGCCAATAACACTAAAAATTAAAATTAAGGTGTTTAAAACACAAAATAAGACTAATGCCCAACCTTTAAGACTGCGCGCAAAGGCCCTAGGCCTACAAAGACATGTGGAGCAACAAAACACAACCTCTAATGGAATTAGCTTTCACTCCATCTGGCACTAAGAGTCCAGAAAAATGTTTAAATAAGGGAGAAAAGAAAGAGCCTCCCCTGTTCTCTCTTTTACTCTCTCTAACCCATTTCTGGCATCCCATATTTTGTTCCATATAATCTTAATTACTCTTATATTTACCCATACCCTTGCCTGTCCACTTTCCAAAATTTCCTCTTTCAACTTCAACTTAGCACATATCAAATCATATCCCTAAAAACACCATGAAAATTTTACAAAAGTTTTTTACTTGGGAGAGTGGAAGGTATGATGCTAGGCACACAGATATTGAGAGTGAGGAAACAAAAGAGTATGTCTCATTAAATTAGCTGAAAGCTACTGTCCTATACCATCCTGCTGTGAGAGATTTTATTAGTAATTTTATTCTAAGAAATCCTTCAGAGAAATCTAAAGACAGTCAAGCAATGATAAAGCCAGTTTTGACCTCCTTGCCAGGTCACATTCACTTATAAATCAGTAGGAACTTACCTTGGCTGCCTTAAGTAACATTTCTCTTTCTTCTAAATCCTTTCTCTGCTTCTCCAATTGATCCAGCTTTTCAAGAAATTTGAGCTGTGACCTGGTATCACTAGACAGAATGTAATTTTCACTTGTCTGAAAAAAAAACAAGGAAGAAAGTCTTATGACGATCTTAGGCAATGCATTCTACAACAGGTATTGTTATAAATCAACTAAAGGCAGTAACACCAACATATACAGGGAGTTAAATTTTCAGGAGGTAATATTTTGCTTTCTGTTAAAGTTAACAAGAAAAAGAACTTTAACCATCCTTAAAATTTAAGAGGTGATTAAGTATTTAAATTTCAAAGCTTTCCTAGTAAGTCAAGCTGATCCTAAGAACAGGAAATGGAAAGCAAAGAGAGTAGCATTTGTCTATAATCTAAATCTTTTTAGCTAAATTACTATCCATGTGAGTAGACCTTAATATGATTAATTAAATCTTAGGCCTGCGAAAGACAAAAAAAAAACAATAACAATCATTTCACTGAAAAATATAACAGTTATCACCCTTATTTCTAACCTTGTCAAGTGAATATAACTTCTATCAAAATAACAACACAAAATAAGATGGCAAACATCAAGATCCTAAACCTTGTTTCGAGGATTCTCTTAAACTACGAACTTGGGCAGAAAGAAATTAAGTATACATTTATAAATGAAAGCCATAACAGAGAATTATAATTATTTGTCTTAATTGTTCCATAAAATAATAAAATCAACATTGTTCCATTTATTCTGATATTCTAGAGTATAAAACAGTGCTTTCCAATCTAAATATTTTTTCATTTTCTTCATCTGATATGACCACCTATTTTTCCACTCTAATATATATGTGTGTGCATGGGGTAGGGAGTGAGTGTATAGGGCAATCTTCCCAATCAATATTTACAACATCCTGCCATCTCCTCATCTCAGCAATTCAGACATCCAAGCTATAAGAGAGAGGGACTGAAGGAGACTGTATAATTGAAAAACAAAATGTTTTTAAACATTCAGTCCGACAGTCAGTGCCTGGCTTGGAGATCATGGGTATAGCTCCACTCCCATTTTTGTATTATCCCATGCTTATAACTGATTCAATTAACTGGGACTGAGAGATTTCATATGCCCAAGATTCTTTTTAAATTAAACTTTTATTGTTGGTATTTAACTAGATCAAAAGAGTATTACATAGTATAACGAACAAGGATGTATTAGTGCTACTTATTTTATTTCATGTGTAATGCAAAAAGAATTCTCAAATGCTTTTAAAGTTAAATAATATAAGAAAATATGGAATACATTATAGGCCAACCATCGAGGTATAAACATAATAACCAGTGGTTTCTTAAATACTTCATCCTTACCATTTATCTTCAGATATACTGGAGAGAGTTTACTGGCAGGATTTAATTTTTAAAAGACAACAAACACTAAATTAAAAAGGGGCACAGACTTTCTAAACTTTGACCCAATCTCATTCCCATGCTAAGAGTCCTTCTCTTTTTCCCAGCTCTGACAGCCTCTGGCTTAACGAATGCAACATTCTTCTTTTACTCTTCCAGGAACTAAACAAATGAGTGCTTCCCCAATTCCTTCTGAGTTCCCAACCTTATTTAAACAACAGTAACCCCAATCTTATGACGTTCTTTCCTGTCTACCCAGCGGGCCTAACTGAAGTCTTCATGCACCACAGAGTAGAGTGGTTTAGCAATGAAAAATATAAGAACCTAGACCAAATGTTAACACCACCAAGTGAATCCCATCTCAAGAAAGCACTACAATCCCTTTCAACTGGAAAACATTGAAATTTCTTCAACCACTGACATGCAGAAGACTATAATATATCTTCAATGGGAAAACACCTGGCAGAAAGATCAAAAGCTTTGTACCACATGTGTCAGTTTCTACTTATTTATTGAAATCTCATTTTATGGACTGTGATTAATGAGAGAATTATATCTAACTGGGTGAAAGATTATCAGAAGTAGGTGGATATCAAATGGAAAAAGATGGTGGGATGTTGCTTTTAATCGAAGTACTCACTTTTGTAAAATTCACGGAGTAAAATTTCCCACACTATACAGATGAAAATAAATTCTATAAGGAATGAAGTGAAATATAAAGACAGGGCTAAATCTGTGACACAAAGATTATTACAAAGTCTACAAAACACAATTTTGAAGTAGATCCAAATATAACTATGTGATTATTATTTCTGTTTAGTAGCTGCCTTTCTTTAAGTACAAATTCAGACAGCGCCATTACCTGTATTAAGGAATAACTGTGTGGGGAAAGGTAGGAAGGGGAAAATCATTAGGATAGGCATTGTACAAGACAGAAGGTTAGGAGGTGTTAGCTTTAAGCTACGTTATTCAGAGAGGTTCCAGGTAGGGTAGTAGATACTATCCATTTTGCGTGGGGTAACTAAATCCTTGGAACATATGCTGCTGACATACAACAGATAAAATGTCATCTAAAGGCTATACACAATAGAGCTTTGGATAGCATTTAGAATAGTAAATATTACCTGGAAAAATTCCATTCCATACTAAATTGTATATGTTACATTTTGTAAAGAAACTGCCCATTGTAAAGGAAAGTACACTATGTGTCTCTGAAACACAAGGGTGACTGAGGTGAGACTAGAAGAAAATCCAGGTTTAAAAAATAATAAGACTCTTTTAAAAGTTACAGAAAAAGCCAAAAAGGAAGACTGAATTCTTCCATATTCCCTAACCGAAAGTAAGGGGTTATCAATTCAAACTAGATTATTATAAATTTAGGATATTCGTTGTAATTCCTAGGGTAACTGCTAAGAAAATATCTTTAAAAAATACACAAAAGGGAATGAGAAGAGAATCAAAACAGTATACAACAACAACAAAAAAATCAATTAAACAAAAAAGACAGTATATAGAGTAAATGAGGGACCAAAAAAAAGCTATAAGGCATACAGAAAAACAGTAAAATAGTTCTTCCTTATCAGTAATTACTTTAAAGATAAATGGATTAAACTTCCCAATCAAAAGGTAGAGACTGGCAGAATGGATAAAAAACATGATCCAATTAATGCTGCCTACATGAGATAAAAGCACATAAGTAGGTTGAAAATTAAAGAATGAAAAAAGATATTCCGTGCAAACAATAAGCAAAATAAAGCAGGGGTGGCTATTCTAATATCAGGCAAGAGAGACTTTAAGTCAAAACTGTTAAAAGTGATCGAGAACATTATATGTTGATAAAAGAGTTAATTCCAAAGAAGATATAACAAGAAAATACACACAGAGCACTCAAACGGAAGGCTCGAATATATGAAGAGCCCTCAAATATATGAAGCAAACTTTGACAGAACTAAAAAGAGAAAGAGGCAGTTCTACAATAATAGTTGAAGTCCTCAATGTCCCACTTTTAATAATAGAATATCTAGATAGAAGATCAACAAGGAAACAGAGAACTTAACACTTTATATAAATCAACTAGATCTAACAGACATGTGAACACTCCACCCAGCAACAACAGAGTATACGTTCTTCTCAAGTGCACATGGAACAGTCTCCAAGACAGAACATAAGGCCACAAAACAGGCCTCAATAAATTAAAAATGACTGAATCATACAAAGAATCTTCTGATCACAATGAAATGAAGCTAGAAATCAACAATAGAAGGAAAACTGGAAATTTAACCAATGTGGAAATTAAACAACATATTCTCAAACAATCAGTCAAAACAATTTTGAGGGCAATTAGAAAATACTTAGAGATGAATGAAAGCAAAACAATG